CCACAGGTCCACTCCACTATGCAGCCTTCGTTCTGGACTCCTCTCATGACAATAATACCTGATCATATATCCCTTTTAAACAGTTTTCTCTGTCTTCTGTTTCAATGCCGTATACATTATTTATCCCCTCTTTCTCATTATTTTTACAATGCCTTCAGTACAGCTTGGACTTCATTTCCATTGGTTCTTGGTCATCTGCTACTTCCAGAAAAGATTCCCTGTCAATGAAATCCTTTTGGTCCAGTGACTCTGAGTATCCCTTTCCTTCCATCTTGCTTTGGTGCTTCCTGCATCATTGAAGATTTTGTCTCTAGAATCCTCCCTCTGTTTGAGAAATGCTGAGCATGTTCTTTCCTTTGGCTTTTCTAACTTCTGGTTTTTGCACATTTTGTTATATTTTGCTTTGTTTTCTTGAGCTACCTTTTGGAATCTCTGGTCAGCTGCCTTGTCTCATCCTTCCGGGAGTGGCCTGAAAGATGAGCAGTACTCCTAGAGAGGAGCTCACTCCCAAGAGTAGCCAACCACGCGAGGCTGGAGGTGCAGTGTCTATCGAAGGCTGGAAGGATCCCAGGGAGGCAGTGAGCAGAGAGAATTGTAATTCATGCTATGAGACAGAACATGCATGAATGTTTGAATAAAAAACCCAATTTGCTTTGGAAACATCCACTCAAATCACAGTAAAAGATAATTGGAGGGAAAAGAAAGACATTAGCTGAGGAATTTTAAAAACTTCAGCACTATCACTCTGGCCAGGGTCTTATAATTTTAAACAGCTTCTGAGGTGGTTCTATAAAGTCCCCAAATGTGGGAGGCCTGTTTGCTCCCTCCCACCCCTGCCCGTGAGCCAGCAGTGGGCTCCCCATGACTCTGTGTCCTCACAGGTGTGAGGACATTTCTAAATCGGTAATCTGCTTTCGACTAAACTGGGACTTGATCTTCTGTTAGCCCTAATCATCAATTAGCTCCCCCTTCCACCCGCACCCTTGCCTTGCCTGTCTCTTCCCTCCTCTGCCTCCTCCCTCCCTTTCTCCAAACGCATCTCTATCCCAAGGGCATCAGTGAGACAGCCTTGAGCATAGTGATTAGTGTAATGCTGGTCAAGGTCAAAGGCAGGTGAGCAGTGCTCAGCTTCTTCCAGACTTCTCCCTCCTCCATGGGACCCCACTTGGACTCTGTTCACAAAGGACTTACAAACATGAGGCCTCTGGCAGCCCTTCTGCCTCTCATGAAACTGTGCAGCCCAGGGAGTGGAGGCAAACATCCCATGTCGCATGTCCACCTGTCCCACCTCTGAGGGCAGAGGCCCGCTTCCGACCCCCTCACTTTGAGATGTCTGATGATCTGAAAATTCTCTGGGGGTGAAAGTCCACAGACCTGGGCCTGTCTTGGGGCTTTGACCTTTGACCTTGAGCTATAGGGTGAGTAATGTCATCGTCACCAAGCTTTCTCCCAGGAGTCTCTACTGAGCATCTATTATGCAGTCTCCCATGCAGAGAGGGTAATCTCTTGAAGGGGCTTGGGAGCGGCTGGCTATCTGGCTCTGTCACCACACAGTGTCATTGCGTCATGGTTTGGATTCATGGTGCCATGTGTTCTGAGGATCTACAGCCCCACTTGGGAAGGGGACCCACCATACTGCCCTCATGGCCTTTCACACACCGTCACGTGGCTGTGCATGTGTCAGGACCGCATCACGTCCTGGGGGGCAGGGGAATGCAGATAAAGAGCCCTGCTGGTTACATGTGCTGTCACCAAGGTCAGTGCTTCACCCTACCAGCCTCTCTTCTGGAAACAGATGGGCCTTCTTGTCCCTAAACATTTGCAACCTTGGAAACTCAATGCAGAGCCCTCACCCCACAGAATTGCTCACCAGCAGGGGTCACAATGTTGGCTAGGCAAGTCCCTGGTGATTCTACAGCAGGACTCTTCTGTCACATGCAGGGCCCAGGCCTGGCACAAGCCATTCTCGGGATGGGTGGCTCTAGCCTGTGGAGTGGACCTAGTGGCTAGGACCTTTAGACCCAGGCCAAGAACGCGAAGGGCAGCCTGTGCCTTGATTTGCTCCATTAAGGGCCAGCCCCTGTGCCTGCAGGCAGCCAGGACCGTGGGCCCTGAGGGGGTTGCAGACAAGGCGGTTCTCAGCTGAAACAGGTGAGAAACCACAGAGCTGAGCTAGGAGATAAGGGCACTCTCAGCACAAGCCAGAGGGCTGTGGGGAGAGCGGCCAGGTAGAGGCAGCTAGCTGGGAACCTACCAGTACAATCTGGTCTTTGAAGGTAAAGCTCCCGGCATCTATGGCCAGAGGCAGCCCACAGAAAGGCCGTGAACTCAGAGGGAGAGTCAAGTCTCTCTTGCTGGGGCCTGCACAAGCACCTTTGTGTACAAAGTCGTGGTACCAGAGGAGCCAAGGGGCATGCTGTGTGAGTCCCAGAAGGGAGTCCCCAGGCTGCGTGGCAGGAGAAGCCAGGGACCACCTGCTGCTGACCATGCTGACCCAACAGGGCGCTGGCTGGGGGGAGGAAGCGGGCCCAGAGTGAGCCGGCTCGGGGTCTGGGGGCCAGCCAATCCCTCTGAGCTGCAGACTCGCCTTAGGAAACAGGAGGTCTAAGTCTGGGCCCAATTAAGAGATCAGAGGGTGAAGGGTTTGGGGAGCTTTTGAGGTGAGGAGGCCCAGGCTGATCCTGTGGGCTGGTATAAAATGCAATGACCCCCAGGCAGCGTGCCAGGGCTGGCGGGCACTGGGAGCAGGGCTGACGGGAGCCATGGCCCAGCAGTGGGGGGCCCACAGGCTCACAGCCAGGCAGCTACATGAGGCCCATGAGGACAGCACCCGGGCCAGCATCTTTGTTTACACCAACAGCAACGCCACCCGAGGTGAGTAAGCAAAGTTAGCTGAGTAGCCCTTCCGGGAGGACAGTGTGCCCATGGAGCTGGGAGGGCTGGCAGCCTCAGCCACGAGGTAGAACAGACCGGAACAGGCTTCTTGTTCCACTTGTCAGGGGATGGGCAGTTTCCCCCTGAAATCAGATTGCTAAAGGCTTAGCACTTGGCTCCCACAACCACAGCCCAGAGAGCACAGGATGCTAAGGACCCCTGCCGTCATCCCTTCTCAAGCCACTGTATCCCTGAATTTCCTCAGGCCCCCAAGCCTTCTTCAGTAGATGAAATTGCCTTACATTTTTGTTCGTAAGTTTATAAAAGTAGATCAAAGAGTGCATAAGCTCCGTGGTATGAATGCCCAGTCTTATGCCAGCTATAGACTAGAGTGAACCCAGGGCACCGCATGATGCTTGTAGTGGTGCACCCCGAGATGGCTGGCAGGCCCATGTACCCACTGGCTTTCAGTTGGCTTGCTGGAAGGCTCACACCGTGCTTGGCTGGCTCCCTTCTCAGAGCTCTCCTATTTTATTATGTAAAGGATGAGCTGGGCGATGACTGTTGTTTCAACACATTCCACACGTGCAGCTCGGCAGTGACGTTAACCTGGCCCACCACACTGTGTAGCTGCCATTGCGACCCAATGACAATTTTGTTCACGTCCCTTAAGAGAAACTCCCTCACCCACTGCTGAAGAGCTGGCCCGACTGAAGGCCGCCCTCCATCAGAATGTTCTCAGGGCTGTCAGTTGCAAAGGGCGTGAAGACTGCCTGTCCTTCGCGGAGCTGCTGGAGACACGTGGCCTTTGTGTTAGTGGTGGACAGAGTGCCCCGGGAGAAACCCAGCCCCTTAGATGATATCATTCCTCTGTCTCCCCACCCCGATTCCTGCTGACACACTTCAGTCTCTACCTGTGTGCTGATTGTAGACCCTCCACCTCATGAACCAGACAGTGCTTGTCCTGTTGCGACTGACCTCGTTTGCAGCATCATGTTTCAAGGTTCACTTGCGCTGAAGCATGAGTTTGAACTTCCCTTCTTTCTATGGCTGAATACTTCACTGCAGGAGTGGCTCGCATGGTGTTTGTCCACTAACTGTGGAGGGACGCTCAGGCTGTCGCTTCTATATATACCCATTGTCTAAATGCACTGTGTAGGGTTTGTCCACCTGCCAACGGACAGTAGGGTGCGGTCCGCTGTTTCAAGCAGTGCTGTAGTCAACACAGGCGTGTAAGAAGTTCCCTAAATTCTAAGAGCTACTTGGAATTACTGTAGGTTGTGAGGATGGCCGTGGCATGACTGGGAGTCTTGTAATCCTTCAGGTATTTCGCAAAAATGTTGGTAGTGACACTAGGCTGGCCTTTTCATCTCCCAGTGTTGCTGTAACAGAAATATCACAAGTGAGTATCTTTACAGAACAGATATTTATTTTCTCAAAGCTCTGGAGGCTGGAAATTTAAGTTAGATCCTGAGCCCCCCATGACCCCTTACAGCCCTCACATGGCGTCTATCCCCCCTATGCACCTCAGTCTAATCTGCTCTTTTTATAACTCAGAAGTGATTAGACTTAGAGCCCACATTATTTCATTATGATCTGATGAAAGGAAACCCGATTTCAAAATACAATTACATCCACAGGCAGAGGGGCTAGAATTCCACCACATGTTCTGGGGGACACAGTTTGATCCCCAGCAGATGGCTACTGTCAGAAAAAGAGAAAGTCCCAAGTGTCAGTGAGGCTTCAGAGAATTTGGAGTCCCACACGTCCCTAAGCTCTGGCTGCCTGCTGTGTACACAGTTACGCACCTAACTCAAAGGTCACACCTTTCTGGCGGATTGAATCCTCACACTGCTCCGTGGGACAAAGATGGGTAATCTCTTCCCATGTGGTTCTGACGCACTAAGTAAATTCTCGGGAGAACTGTTGAGTGGTGCAGCCTCTGGGGGAAAAGGGTTGGAAGCTCCTCAAAAAGTCCCATGTGGAGGTAGCTCGAACCTCACTGGAGAGGAGGCCACTTCAACTCATGGCAACCAAGAGGTTTGCAAGGCTGTATGTAAATGCGAGAAGCTGGCCCGTCCTTCTCCATCAGAGCTGCTGGGAGATTCGAGCTGATGTTTTGGTTAGCAACACACCTCAGGTTGCACTGCACTAGCTGGAGTTACCTTATTATCCAGCAAGTCCACTCTAGGTATATTGTCAGAAGAACTAAAAGCATGAACACAAGTAGATACATTTCTAGCAGCTCTTATAATCAGTGAGCTCTAGTGGCCTAGTGAGTAAGGAGTTGTGCTATCAGCCCAAAGGTATAAGGTTCAAATCTGTGAGCTGCTCTGTGGGAGAAAAATGGGCAATCCCCTCTTGTATGATTTACAGCCTCTGAAAACCCACTGGAGGGTCAGCCAAGTCACTTCTGACTGGACAGCACATGTCAACGATAACAATTCATAATAATTTAAAAGTAGAATAAACCCAAGTGCTCATCAAGAGATTCATTAATAAGCACAGTGTGCTTTGTCCGTACAATGGAATATTATTCAGCCATAAAGAGAAATGAAGTCCTGATGCATTCTAAGATAAGGAGGAACCTTGAACACATGATGCTGAGTGAGTCCATCAGACATACAGCATGACTATTGTATGGTCCCACTGACAAGCTAAGCACAGAGACAGAAAGCTTCATGGTTAGGCCACAAGGAGGCCAACAGAGGGCACAGAGCTTCTATTAGGGCCATTAAAAGTTTTAGAAAGAAACACTGGTGATGGGTGCAAAAAAAATTTTTTTTAAAAAAAAAACAACATGAAAATAATTTCCCCATGTCAGGAAGCTTCTGTTCTACCAGAGTCTGTCTGCTCATTCATTCCAGCTGCATGCTGGAGATATGAGGATGAAGGCGACTTGGGCAATTCCCAGGCAAGGGAGGGTTGGATGGAGGAGCAGAGGCGTGAAGGGGTACTTCCGGCCAGGGCCACTACCTGCTGAGCTGGGCTTTGCACTATGAAAGGATCCATCCAGGGAAGGGACAGGGTCTGTCCCCACAGTGGGCATGGGAAATCAGATGGCAGTCGTTCACTTGGCTCAGTTTGAGGGTCCAGTGGAAAGGCCCCGCAGGGAGCACCGGCTTGAGAGGCAACCAGAACAAGGCCAGAGCCAGCTGGCAAGGAGAGGTGGGGTCGTGGGGAGGGCCCGTGAGCTGTTCCTGGCTCCATACCCTTGCCTGGGCCCCTGCCCCTGGCCCCTGTCTCTGCACTCCCTGGCTCCAGACCCCTTTGAAGGCCCCAATTACCACATCACCCCATGGTGGATATACCACCTCACCACTGCCTGGATGCTGTTCGTGGTGGTGGCCTCTGTCTTCACCAATGGGCTCGTGCTGGTGGCCACCATGAGGTTCAAGAAGCTGCGCCACCCTTTAAACTGGATCCTGGTGAACTTGGCTGTGGCCGACATGGCAGAGACTGTCATTGCCAGCACCATCAGTGTGGTGAATCAGTTCTACGGCTACTTCATCCTTGGCCACCCTTTGTGTGTCATCGAGGGCTACACCGTCTCCCTCTGTGGTAAGCCCCTGGAGGTGCTGCATAAGCGAGACCCGGCCTTGAGAGCAGAGTTGTTCCATGCGGCGCGATAGGCCACGTAGATTTGCAGGCTGGCAAACAGTTTGAGGCCTTGAGGTGGGGGAGACAGTGACCCCAACATGAGAAGAAGGACTTTCCCTCCTCAGCACACTGGGCGGACTTGTCCGGGGGAAGACATCCCTCCCATTCAAGTCTCAGTAATATGGAGACTGGGACTGAGATAGCGAGAAATGCACAACCCTTGTGAACTTGTCCACTACAGATTAGCAAACAAGCACCAGTGTGCCTAGCTTCCCTTGCTCAGAGAGGCATAAACCGACTTCTGGTTCCGATTCTCCTGAGTGGACAAGTGACAAAAAGACAAGAAATATGTCTAGAGGGGAGGGGGCAGGGCTAAGAGTCAGGCCCCAGGTTGAATGACAGTTGTGATCTCCAGCAGCCACTTTGCCATCTGTAAAATGACCCCACCCACAGACCTGTGAAGTAGGTCAAATATGACCCCCACTCGACAAGTCAAGGGTGCTGCTAAATTACCTTTGCTGTGGCTTGTCTCCACATTCATGAGGGAAGGATACTCGGTCTCCACTGGGGACCTCCGTGCACAAGCGGGAGCCCCAAGCACCCACTCTCAGGGTCAACAAGGAGCCATTTCCAGAAGCTTAGTGAAAAGTGACTCCAGATGGCTTGAGAGCACATGGGTTGACAGCCACGTCCTGCTTTGCTCTGCATTGTAATTACAGCTTCTTAGTATGGTCACATTGGTCTGTGTGTGGCCACAGGCATTCTGACCACTGGTGGCCGGGAGAATGACAGGACACAGAGCCAGCAAGCTACCTTATTTTTGTTTTCTTTCTTTATTCCTTTCCTCTTTCCCTCCCTCCCTCCCCTCTGTCCCCTTCCATTCATGACTGAATCGGGGGTGGGGGGAACTCAGGGACCAAACTGGGGCTCAGAGCTTCTGTTCCAGATGGAAGGAAAGCAGGGAAGGGGGAGGCTCAACTCTGATGGGCACCCAGGAAGGAGGAGCCAAGCTACGCCCTGGGCAGCAGAGGAGGGAGAGGAACATAGGGAAGGAACTGGAGTTAGAGAAAGCCCTTTGTGGAGCATGGAGGTTTTCAGGTGGGTGGGCCAGAGGGGACGAGGTGGCCATGATGCCAATCAGCCTGATGCCATCCCTGACCACTCTCTCCGGTAGGGATCACAGGGCTCTGGTCCCTGGCCATCATCTCCTGGGAACGGTGGCTGGTGGTCTGCAAGCCTTTTGGCAACGTGAGATTTGACGCCAAACTGGCCATCGCAGGCATTGCCTTCTCCTGGATCTGGGCTGCCAGCTGGACAGCACCTCCCATCTTCGGGTGGAGCAGGTAAGGGCCCAAATACACTGGTGGGCCAGGTGTCAAGCTAAGGGGGAGGCCAGAGGATGCATTGCTCCCTGTCTCTGAGTCCCTGTGTGCCATGAGGGCGCCCCGGGAAGCTCAAGCGCAGGCTCAGCCCCCCGCCACAGGCCTCTATCCAGCACACTCGGAAAGCCCCCTTTCAGAGGGCATGGGTATCAGAGGACACCTAGGCCTGTAGGACACAGCTTCTGTGCCCCAACCAGGTGGCCTGTTTGGGGAGAGAGCGAAGCCACTGCGGCAGGACCCCAATGCTTCAGCAGAGTGGTGCATCACACTGAGCTGTGGCTCACCAAGACCCACCGTGCTTGTGAAGGAGGCCCTGCACGGAGCAGCTGTCATTCTCAAAAGAACCAGTGAAAGTGCATCTTTATTGCCTACCTGCTCCCAGGGCCTGGGCTTCTGGAACAGGAGGAAGCGCCAAGCAGCCAAGTTCAAGGTGTCCCGTGGCTTGGACATTCTGTAGCCATGGTTGGAAGGAAAACATGCCTTTTGCTCTTGTTCCTATTACTTATTGAAGTATGGCAAGGATTTGGGAACTAGACCTTATATCCTAAATATAAGACAATGAAAACAAATGGATGCCTTTGAGCTGTGGTGTTGGGGAAGCCCCGTGTGTGCCATGAATGTGAGGAGGGCCTAGTCTGACTTCTACCCAAGTCATAAAGGGGAACGTTTTCCATCCATAAAACCCATAGTGGTGCTGAAGAAGAGTATTGAACATACCATGGACAGCCAAAGGAGCAAACAGGTCTGTCCTGGAGAGAGTGCGACCAGCATCCTCCTTAGAGGCAGGGACAGTGAGACTCCACCTCACATACTTTGGGCATGTTGTTAGGAGGGAAAAGGCATTGTGCTGGGAAAGGCAGAGGGCCAGAGAAAGAAAGGCTGACCCCCAGTGAGCTAGAGTGACTGTTACAATGGCCCTAGCATGTGGAAGGTGGTGAGGGGCACAGGAATCAGCAAGGCTCAGACCTGTTAGTAGTGTCACTGTGAGCCCTAGTCAACTCGACAACACTTCAAAACAGCAGAGAGGCTCACTGACTGCCCGGGGATAGGCCGCTGAGAAGGCACAGCCGTGGACAAGGTGGCTTCTTTCCAGGGTCTGTGTTCCCCTAGGAACCACTTCTTCGTTCCTCAGGGACAGTCTTCACAGAGGTCAACAGTTAATGTCCCCTTGTGTGAAGAGGTGTGCTCAGATGGTCTTTGTAGAGGGGGATGTGACAGGTGACAAAAATGATCTGAGATTGAGTTGGACGACAGTGTAAACATCCCTGTGGGTAAATGGCCTATTACTATTGGCATTATATCACAATATAAATTATTTGCATTGTACCACAATAGTTCTGGTGGCCTACTGGTAAGAAGCTGCGCCGCAATCCTGAAAGCACCTGGCTTGAATCCACCAGCTGTTCCGCAGGAGGAGGATGGGCAGTCTCCTCCCATGCCTCTGAAAACCCGCCAGAGGGTCAGCTATGGGCCGGTTCTGACTCGATGGCACACAACAACAACAATACAAAAAGGAGGGGAAGGGGATGGCTAAATTTAGGCAAGGATTTACTGAACCCCAACCCCATGAGGGGTGGGCTGGGACTGCACCCTGCTGCCTGCCACCTGCCCCAAATCAGGCCCTCCTTTCCAGGTACTGGCCCCATGGCCTGATGACTTCGTGCGGGCCTGATGTGTTCAGTGGCAGCGCGTATCCCGGGGTGCGCTCCTACATGATTGTCCTGATGACCACGTGCTGCATCATTCCCCTCAGCATCATTGTGCTCTGCTATCTCCACGTGTGGCTGGCAATCCGAGCGGTAAGCACCTCTAGGCCGAGGCGAGGCTGGGAAGAAGGATCCCCTTGCCTGTCCAGCTAAACCAGCCTCAGTGAGACTCTTAAGCAATCTCTTGAGCTCCCTTAGATAAGAGGATTTCACAGCGAAGCCAAAGTGACATTAAGAGCTGCGGTGTTAATCTGTGAGGCCTCACGCCGCCACATCCCTGCAGCTGGCAGCCCCCTGCCCCCCCCTTCAGACTCCCTGGCCTCATCCTCTCTTGGAGGAGTCCTATATGTGGGCCTGGCCTTCAGGCCCTGAGCAGAAGCCTGGCAAAGCCTCTTCTCAGACTTTGTCCATGGTGCTGGACAGAACAGGTAAACAAAATGTGCAAACATGTTAGATAAAGTCCCAAGCACTGGGGCAAGCCATGGCAGGGCTCGAGGGAGCCACTCACCACCCCCACCCCACCCCTTCACTCTCCTGCCCTTGAAGTCGTCAGAGGACTAGGGAGGAAAGTGCAGCTGTCAGCTCCATCCTCTCCTGGTGGCCCATGGACAAGGTCCCCTGCACTTTTGTCGCTCGTTCCCACTTAGACAGGAGTGCTGGAGGCAGCACATGGTACCAAAGCCTGGAGGGACACAGGCTCACAAGAAGCCAATTCCTCATCTAGGCCCTTGTCAGGTCCAGGTCCCGCAGCCTTGGCTGGAATGGTCCCCCTCTGCCTTTCCCAGCCAGCCCCTCTGCTTAGAGTCCTCCAGGGCCTCACGCTGGAGGGAGCACCTGTTTCCACAAAAGCCCAGGAATGGGGCTTTGGATACCAGCTGCCCAGCCTCAGTGCAAGCAGGCTCCCAGGGAGCCAGGGGTGGGGATGGAGACTCAGAGCCTCTTCTTAGCAAATGAAATGCCCACAGCACTCACCTCCTCCACACTGTCCATCTCGTTCAGCCTCATAGTCTCAAGTCCAGAGAGCACTCTCTGAGAAAAGCTCAGGTGGGAGAATGCAGCCTCTGTGGGTCCCTGCCTAGCCTCCTTCCAGGAATATCATGCATCCAGAGGGCTTGGTGGAAGGCCCTGCCACAGTGCCTGCCTTGATGGCTGCAACTCCCCCAAGACCAAGGCAAAGCATAGGCTGTCTGGGCAGGTGGCATGCCAAATGGATGTAAGCAGACCATAGGCTGCCCATTTCCCCAAAAATTCTTTCTGCCTGGGCCACCTCTCACTGCTTACCTAACCCACTGCCCAGGTTGCAGCCATCGCCAGCTCTCAGTGGCTATATTTCATGATCCCTCTCCTCCAGGTGGCAAAGCAGCAAAAGGAGTCAGAATCCACCCAGAAGGCGGAGAAGGAGGTGACACGCATGGTCATGGTGATGATCCTTGCCTACTGCCTCTGCTGGGGGCCCTACACCTTCTTCGCATGCTTTGCTGCTGCCTACCCTGGTTACGCCTTCCACCCTCTGGTGGCAGCAATGCCATCCTACTTTGCCAAAAGTGCCACTATCTACAACCCCATCATCTATGTCTTTATGAACCGTCAGGTAGGTAACACTGTTGGCAAATCAAAAGAGAAGGATATGTGGAAACATCAATGATCGCTCCCCACTGGGACAATTCCTTTCTAGACACAGACCTGCGGTGATCGGGTCGTTAGCAGTAGGCTTGCACCCTTTCGGGAGCCTGTGGTGACCATTGCCCTCAATGGTCTCCCTCCCTTGCTGACACACTAGAGCTAGTGAGCACATCCTTCCTGGTTTTATAGATTCATCTTTTCTCGAAAGCTTCATCTTTTCAATTTGACCAGGTTATCTTGGCTCTCAGGAGTCTGTAGCAGTTCAAGGTCTGGCCAGCGACAGCCATCATTGTTAGCTGGCATGTGGCAAACCATGACTCCCAGGCCCTCTGGGAAGGTTATAGGTGGCCACTCAAGGCTCAGCCTTTTCGAAGTACAAGCCATCGCTCCTTCTTTGACTCCTTCTTTGACCAAGAAGCAAAGGCTTCACCTTTCACTAGCCCAAACCCATCTGTTCCTTGTGGGGATCTCAAGAACGAGTCCAGGGCCTGCCCCTCCAGTCAGCTCTTCTCTTCATCTCCCATCAGGCTCATGACCCCAACTCATGGCAAGGGCCTCAAGATGGGTGTGTCTGCGAAGTTCACTCGGCATTGATTCTTTTTGGAAATTTTTAAGTACCAAATCGAACCAGTCCCACCACTGATTTCTAGGACTGCACTGTTGATGCAATGATTCCCTTACCTGCATTCCTGCCTTTCAGATGGGTCTCCTTCAGAACTGGCTTTTCATTGTTGGACTTCCAGGCTCCCTTGTGAAATTGTCTTCTCGAGTCCCTCCTCTCCCCTTGTAACTCTCCCTCTTAGCTAGAGCCACACTTCTGAGCCACTCTAGACTTTCAAACCCAGCCTTCCCACTTTTCACACTGATTTCTCTTTCTGTTGTGCCCTGGGAGAAGTTTTTGGAATCTAAACTCCATGAAGACTGAGGACCTTGCTCTTTTTATTCACTGCTGTCCCCTACCCAGTTACAGCCCAGTGTCTGGCACATGGTAGGTGCCTGACCAATCAACAATGAATTCATTTGTTGGATGAATTCCTCAGCCTTATATGGCAGCTCTTCAACAGAACCCACCCATTCTGCTGTTCAGACTACTTCTTAAGTTAATAATTTCAACAGTTTTTCAATCTCTAAGCATTTTTAATTTCTACTCTTTCAATGTGATTTGAGAGTTGACAGAGCAGATTGGTTTTAGGCAATTCGTACACATTGTATTTTCTGACACATTGTACCAGCACTCTGCCCACTTCCTTCCTATTTCCATTCAGCTTTCTTTCCTATCCCTTGGGAACTTCTGAGCTTTGTTCCTGGGCAGATGCTACCCTTTTGATCTTGTATGGTTGATTGTCCTAACAATGAGTTCCTTCTTTGTGTGTGATTATTCACCTTCTAGGCCTATTGTTTGGCTTTAAGTTGAGCCACTGGGGCGAGTTCAGTTCTAGGCTTGAAAAGTGACCAAGGGCCATGCTACATCATCTCATGGGTTCCACCAAAGTCTACGGACCAGCAAGTTTGGTCTTTTGGATAATTTTGAGTTTGTTCCACACTCTTCTCCTACTCCATCCAGTACCTTCTACTGTGATCTTTTTCAGAGTAGTGAGCAGTGGTAGCTGGGCACTATCCAGTTCCTCAGGGTCTTAGGGCCATGGAAACTGCTCACGCAGTCCATTAGTACCTTGGATTTTTTTCTTTACCAAACAAGGAGAGGCCAGGAGTTGTACCTCACATGACTGTTCACAAGCTTTTTAAAATTCTGATTTGAATGGAAGTTTACCAAGAAGTTGCTTTTCATTCACCCATTTATTCAGATCTATCCTCCCTTCTCTCCCCCTTAATTCCCTAATGTTCACAAGTTTTTAAGACCCTAGTCTATTTTTTAGCATGTTGATCATAGAGGGATGTAGGAACTGGCTATTCAGGAAACCCCTCTGGTATGCATTCTTAAAGCATTGTTGCCAGTTCAGTGACAACCCCATAAACACACTTAGAAACCCCGACTTCCCAGCAGTCCCTAGATGACTGCCTAGGGCTCATCTTGCAGAAAGCAAAACTCTCTTGAAAGAATATGGGGTTTTTCAAACTAGCTTATTTATAAAATTCCAATACATTGATTTTGAGAATAGATTCTTCCAATTTCCTTCACCCCCCCATCAAATTATACAACCCCATGATTAATTCCCCCTTCCCCTTGCACATCCACATCCCTCTGCTTCCAGCCTTCCCCACCCCACTTGGATCCCGATACTCATTCTACAATAATAGTTTTATACCCTATTTGTCCTTGTGGGACTGAGTTAGTTCACTCAGCATAATGTTCTCCAGTCCCTCTCAAGTTGGGTAATCACGTACAAAACTGTTGCTCCTGCGTGCTGCGTAGTATTCCATTGAGTGAGTGTACCATAATTTCTCAATCCATTCGTTTGAAAGACTATCTTTTGACTTAAGATAAGAGGTAAGTAGACAGACTACAGTTGACCTAGTCCTTATTTTCCCCCCAAACTCATGGGATTTAACTGCCTCTGTCCCTCCCCAGGTGTTCTGGAGACAGTCACTCAATGTGTGAGCCCTCACCATGCTTGGTTCCCATTAGATGCTGAATTAGCAAACTGGGCTGTGTTTGAATGTAAGGACTAGCTGGTGCCTTGCTCCTGTCTCTGTCTAGGCTTCTGACTGGTGGGAGAGAAGATTTTGGGTTATCAAAGTGGCATTTAACAAATATCTTCCTCTTGTTGTTGTTTGTGAGTTGCCACTGACTCTGTCTAACAGAGCAAGTTGCTGTGTGAGCCTGTGCCATCTTCGGGACAGTTGGTGTCACTAATTCCATTATCATAGTTACTGAATCCATTCATCTCATGGACCTTGGTTAGACATTACTTGGACCCTACCATGTCAGTCCCTCTTACTCTGGAAGGGAGCGCTGGTGGCTTAGTGGTAAGGAACTGCACTGCAAACTCAAAGGCAGGCAGTTTGAATCCACCAGCCACACCATGGGAGAGATGGGCAGTCTTCTCCTTTGTGATCTGCTGCCTCTGAAAACCCACTGGAGGGTTGGCTATGGGTTGGTTCTGACTCGACAGTACATAACAACATTGTGCTGACTAACACTTTCTGTTCTTCCAGTTTCGGAACTGCATCTTGCAGCTTTTTGGGAAGAAGGTAGAAGATAGTTCTGAACTCTCCAGTGTCTCCAGAACGGAGGCCTCATCTGCTTCTTCAGTGTCACCTGCATGAGTCTCCCCAGCCCCGACAAGAAAAGCTCCTGTCCCTGCCCTGTCCCTGCCCTCCCCTCTTTCCTCCTCCACTCCTGGAAAAGAAATGTAACTTCTCTTTGCCTCCCCACCAAAACAATGTCCCAAAGGCAGCCAAGGTGATTTGGGATACCTTTTCAGCCAGTTGGTCCTGAAGGGAAAGATGATGGATAAGCAGGAAAGGAGCAAGGATCTCTGCACTTGGTAGATTTTAATCCCTTCTAGCCCTCATTTCTTCAGTTGACACTGTAGTAAAGACTAAAAGTGCAGGGTGGTGAGCATCTCCCCTGGCCTCATGGCCATTGACTTGGAATAAGGGTGGTGCTGGATGCTGTTAGCACTCAGGAAGGAGGAGCAGGAGCTAGCTAACTCCTCTCCATGGCCTTCCTGGCTCCTATGTTTCCCCTGGCAGAGGCCTGGGATCCCTGGCAAAGACGTTCCACTTAGAGGTGATCCAGACCTGCCATTGGGTGGTGGAGATGGCATGCCTCTTCTGCCAGGCTAACACTCCGAGACCTATAAGCACAAGGGAGATGCATGTGCGCAGAGGTGTCTTTACAAAGGGCCGGGGACAGGCACACAGGGAGGAAATGAAGAACAGGAGGATGGTGGTCAAGGTGAGGATCAAGCTAATGAACTTGAGTAGGAACTCATGTGGGCGGGTTCTGAGCTTCTCCATTATCTCTACTTGGGCTGCTTGTTGCAAAGTTTCCAGCTTTGCTATCCGGCTCCTGAAAGTTCCCAGGACCTCCTGCAGGTGACAAACACATGCACTCACTCTGGTGTCAAAATTAACTTACTCAGTGAGTTCCTGAGGGTGCCCTGCAGATACTGCTGAAGTGATTCTTTTAAGAAAAAAAAAAAGAAAGAAATAGTAAAATCTGCAGAGAAAGGGATGAAATCTGCCAAGGGTGTCATCTGGGGGTCCTCAGGCATGGCCTGTCTCACAGTCAGCTTCTCCTGCGACTGAGGACAGGGTATGGGAAAGGGGGAATCGGATTCACAGCTGGTGCACATGTCGTTGGTGACCTGTGCCCTGGAGCAGTGGCTCTCCCAGGGCCCTGGTTAGGCTTCTTCCCAGATCTATTCCTGAGTCCAAAGTTCTGGACTGGCCCCAGGGTGAAGATGGGACACTGAGGTTAGTCAATGTACCGTCCTTGCACCCTATGGAAGGAGACTGTTGGGGATGTCCCTTTCCTCTTTGGAGTCTATCAGAACTCATTCTCTTACAAACAATAGGCCCCACTTTCTTCTCATGTCCCTGTCCTGCCATGGCCCCCCAGAGATCCTCACCCATATTTCCTTGGCTCTCTCATAGGACAAGAAGGCCATTTTTTCTTGAGTGCAGGCCAGATTCCGTTTGAGGCAGGAGATCTCATCCATGTACCCCTGCAGGTGCTCATCCATCTGCTCATCCATCATCTGCTGTCTTGAAAGCATAGATCCTTCAGTCCTCTATCCAGAGCTTAGCTGCCAGCAAGCCCTCCTACACGCAGACGAGACCAGGACTCATATTCACCTTCCTCCTCCAGCTCCAAAGGCCAGTCAAACCTTGCCTTCTCCAGACCTCTCAGGAGCACCTCAAATGCACAGCACTCATGCATATGCACACCCTTACATTCATATATATTTTATACTTACTTTTTGTAACAGCTTTTAAAAAATGACTCTAAACTAGAAGAAGTAGAAACTCACGTCTAAACTATCTATCTCCAGCATTCATGTCTGTAATATAATACTTACTCCATGAACATCCATTGACTATATGGATTGAGTAGTCATAAAAGGCTACATATTGTGTGGTTCTATTTGAATGACATGTCTAGAGAGGCAATGCCACAGGGACAGGGATAGGGAGCAGGGTAACAGGTTAGTGGTTGCTAGGGGCTGGGGTAGGCAGAGATAGGGAGTGGCTGCTAATGGTATAGGTGAGCCTTTTGGGGGAGATGAAAAGATTTGAAATGAGATAGTGATGATGATTGTATAACTGTGAATATAGTAAAAACCACTGAATTGCATACGAATTCTATGATTTGTGAGTTATATCTCAAAACTGTTATAAAAATGGCTAGTGGTAATGGATGTAGATCTCAGTAACTCACTTAAAATCACTGAAATGTTCATTTTGAATGGTGTGTTTGATGGTGTGCTATGTACTGTCAAGTCAAAACCAACTCTGAGCTGAACATTCTGCAGGTTTTCAGAAGCAGTTACTCGATCAGGAGGAGACTGCCCATCCTTCTCCCTCATAGCACCTGGTAGATTCAAACCGCTTGCCTTCAAGACTGCAGCACAGCTTCTTACCAGTACTCTAGAATAGACCACCAGAACTCTAAAATAGAAATTTGCTTTGCATGTTGCTGTCGGTGTTTTATGGTAGGTAAACTATATCTCCATTTACAATCCATTTTAGAGTATGTAAATCATCTACTACATCACCAATATGTTAAGCATTAAGCTAATAACCAAAAGGTTAGTGGTTCAAACCCACCAGCTACTCTGAAGGAATCTGCTTCTATAAAGATGTACAGCTTTAAAGAATCTCTAAAGAATAGTTCTAATCTGTCCTTTAGTGTCACTATGCATTAGAATCTACTTAGTGGCAGGGAGGTTTTGTGTTTTAAATAATATTTCAATAAATCTGTTAAAACACACACACAAGCAAAACATCACTCCATACCGTCATGGCTAGATATGTAATAATGAATGTATAACAAATATGCATGGAAATAATAAATTCCAATTTTAAGACAGTGGGGAAAGCAGAAGATTATTCATATGAAAATAGGATGATAAGTGGTAAAAACAGAGTATCAAATGAAACTTTTAACATTTCTTAAAAAAATTTGATGACCAAGACAAAGGAAGAAATTAGGAGGTATGCAAGAGTAAAAGACAACAACTATGAACACTATTATAGACAACTCTATAATAACAAACAATAGTATACGAGTGGATACATAGTAGGTATGTAAGCTCAACAGTTATGAGGTAGCATATGGAAGTACACCGACAAGTATATATAAGTTTGGCAAAGGATATTTCTACATATATATTTCCTGAAACTCTTGCTGCAGAAGGTCAAGGACTGTGTAGTCTTCAATATGGATTGAAGCTTAATATCAAGAAGACAAAGATTTTCACCACTGGGTCAACTGACAGCACCAGTTGGATATGACAGATGGAGAAGAGATTGAGGTTGTTAACAGTTACAGCTTGCTCAGCTCCACAATCAACACTTTTTAGCACCAGCAATCAGGAAATCAAAAGATGAATTGCATTAGGAAAATCTGCTGTCAGGGACCTCTCCAGAGTACTGAAAAGCAACGACATCAGTCCAGAGACTAAGGTGCACCTGACACAGGCCACTGTCTTTGCAATTACTTGTTATGCGTCAGAGAGCTGTACAAGAATCAATGCCTTTGAGTTGTGGTGCTGGAGAAGAGTTTTGAACATACCATGGACCACCAAGAAAACAAACAGGTCTTTGGGCACGTGGCCAGGAGAGACTGGTTCTTGGAGAAGGACATCATGCTTGGAAACCTGGAGGCACAGCGCAGGCGAGGAAAACCCTGGATGAGATGGATTGATACAGTGACTGGGGTAATGGGGTTAAATTAGTGAGGCTGGCTCAGGACAACGCAAGGTTCAGAGCTGCTGTACATAGGGTCGCTATGGGGTGCAGGCAACTTAACATAACAACAAAAAATTTCTATGTGCTATGACTCGATCCATATATCTAGCAGGGCATACAGGGGGCAAAGTTATATAAACGTCTTAGCCATAACCAAACACCTTGAGAGACTATGCCATTAGGTTTAGCTCCACAGTCTCGGAGGACATCTAAGTCAACTGGTATAACCTAGTCCACAAGGAAAAGGTCTGAAATCTTACTTCATTAGGTGATGTCTGTTGTTGTTGTTAAGTGCTGTAGAGTCATAGACGACACATAGCGACCCTATGAACAAAAGTTCTGAACGTAAAACTTTCAGTTCATAGAGTTTCTAGAGGCAAGCTTTTTTTTTGGAATTGGATTCCACTCCTGCTTCCAAGCCAGTTTTATTCAGGAGATCCACAAAAAAAAAAAACCAAACCAAAAAACCAGGCCTGAGGGCCATATGCCCAAAGTGAGGCCAAACCCTATCATCTCACACCCTGTTGTGAGCAAGAGCCACACTCTGATCTCAACTCCAAACTGTCCAGAGTCTTTAAGTTTATAAGGGTTACTCCTCAGAGCAACCAACCATACAAGATCCCAAGGGCTGCATCTGCACAGGAAATAAGCTCAAAAGGCAAAAAGGGGTAGAAAAGAAGGATGAATAGAAATGGTAAACCCAGAGCAAGAGTGAGAAGAGTGTGCTTATATTGTAGGGATTGCATTCAATATCACAAAATAAAATGTGTGTGAATTGTCGAATGTAAAACAAATTTGCTCTGTAAATTTTCACTCAAATCACAATAAAAAGTTTTTTAAAAAAATGTATAAGAGAGAAGACTCAAGGAAAGAACTGGTCCAAAGGACTAATGGGCCACATGAATAATGAAACCATAAGAACTAGATGGTGCCAGCTATCACTACTGACTTCTCTGACTGGAACCATAACTGAAGGTCCTTAAAAGAGTGGTGAAAAAAGTACAACAAAAGTAACAATCATAGAAAAGACCAGTTACTGGTCTGATAGAGACTGGTGGAACCCCAGAGACTATAGCTGTTTGACATTCTTCAGTTTTGGACCTGAACTCACCATGGAGATCATCTTTAACCTAAACCACAGACATGTCAATAAAGTGAACAATAAAACCCGAGAGGAATGTGCTCCTCAGAACAATCAATTCCATTAGACCAAAAAAGCAGAATTTTCCCCAAAACAAGGTTCAGAAGCCAGGCATGGACACGGATATGCGTAAATGGAAACAAGAAACACAGGAGGAAGTGGGAAGAGTGTTGTTACATTGAAGGGATTGCAACGTTGCAAAACAAATATATGTAAATTGTTAAACGCAAAACTATTGTGCTCTGTATTATCTAAGCACAAGAAGGTGGGATTTAAAAACCCCCAAACACAAATAGGGCAAATGTTAAGGCCTTAGATAGCTGGCATTCATAGGATTTCAGAAGCCTGCTATTTAAGAAGTGGATGGTCAATATTGCTTCCTAATCTGTCTTAATCTACTGAAACCTATCCTCTATAGGTGACCCTTCTGGCATTTGACACATCAGTGGCATCGCTTCCAGCATCACGGTAACCCACAAGTTACTTCAGTACAGCAAACTGGCAGACAAGTGCTGTACTAGTAAGAACAATGATAAACAGCAAGTATACACATATCTTAATTATAAATTAGCAATATGAAGATAATCCCCCCAGTATAGCAAACTGACAGATAAGTGTTGTACCTCATAACAGCAAATCAATCATATGAATATCATGTTGCCAGGTCCATCTGAGGCCTATGATGGCATGGCAGAATAGGGTCCCAAATGGAGAGTGCTGGCTGAGAGCCATAACTGGCACAATGGGGTAATGTCCTGGATGTGGATATTAAGGTCACGATGATGACTTCAATGCTGATGCTCCAAAGTAGTATCAAATAGTAGTAGTATCAAAATAGTGTCAAAACAGCACTTTGGTAAAGAAAGACTCTCAACCAGGTGGATTGACACAGTGACTGTAGCAATGGGCCCTTGTGTGTTAGAGATAATGAGGATGGCACAGAATAGTCCAAGGTTCAGATCTATTGTTCATAGGGTCACTATGAGTCATACTTGATGGCACTTAACAAAGGCTGGAGTGGATATACAGGTAGTATCTACCATGGGTTTGAAATACTTAATAAATACCTTTTAAGTTCCTCCTTTGGCATAGTGAAGGGCAGACCAGAAGAATAGAGGCCAGGTGGCTGTAAGAATGTTCTAGCAGTAGTCTTCAGGTCAGGTAGTGATGCTGGACAAGAAGAAAGGTACCATAGAGGGATGCTTTTTGAGTTGTGGTGCTGGAGAAGAATATTGAACATACCATGGACCACCAGGAGAACAAATAGGTCTGTCCTGGAGACGGTGAAACCAAGTTGTCCTTGGAGGCTAAAATTTTAAGGCTCTGACTCACATACTTTGGGCATGTTGCCAAGAGGGACCAGTCCTTGGAGAAGGACATCATGTTTGGAAGGGTGGAAGGACAGCACAGAGGAGGAAGGCCCTGGATGATGTGGATTGATACAGTAACTGGAATAATGGGGGTAGATGTGTCAGAGACAGTGAGATTGGCTCAGAAAGGACAGGGTTCAGAGCTATTGTCACTCTGAATATAGGTAGAGTCAATATGAGTTGCAGTCGAGTTGACAACACATAACAACAACAGACATTGGCGAGCTGAGATGGATTGCCAAGGGCCACTTTGAGTCAGATGATCATATGAACTACAATGCCAA